AAGACGACAAAAATACATACACATATTAGTATTATATCCTATGGCCTCAGTAGTCTAATTTTTCAAGTGGATGCAGAGAATAACTTGCAGAAAGATGGTATGACAACATTCAAAGAGCACATGCAGGTCACTCACCGAATCAGCATTCCTTAAGAAAAACAGTTACTTAAAGTAAAAGGATCTTTCAACTAAAGCAGTGCTTCAGAAGTGTATTTCCTACATTTCAGCAATGAAAAACACAACAAGAAAAACATTCCCAGATAGGATTTATTTCGTGACACTTCTTCACTGATAACATTTTGCAATCTATACCCAGGAGGAGGAACTTAAGGCTTGTTTGAACAAGATGTAACCTAGGGAGACACTATCTCAGAAGAATGCAGCACACACTGACTGATAAAAGCAACCCTTCCAAGCTAGAGGCATTTTAAGAGTTAATAGGAGTGGGATGCAGTTACCATTTCCTATCAAGTTGACAGTTTTGGCATTCAGTATCAACAAAAGTCTTTGAATGAACTGAACTAGCACTGTGTCTCTACTGTATGAATTTGGGAAATAAATGCATTGAGGTGGTATAGTCACTTATATGCTCAAAAATCCCCTCTTCATTTGATTTGAAAAATAATTTGGGCTGTTTCTCAGCATAAATTTGGTATCTCTTAACAGTTAATCCTGTAGGCATTTTCAAGTTAAAGGGCTAGAAAGAGGTTGACTGCTTACAAGTTTGATGTTAGGTCTATCTGTTAAAGGTCAGCATTTCAAGAGTTAAGAGTTTTACAGCAACATCAGCTCAACCATGCTGCAAAGATAAGCATCTTTTCCTGTCCTTGATGAATGCAGCTAGACTTCAGGTCCATTAAGAAAGCTGCTAGAGACCATTTCATTCAGCACTGCCTTTTTTCATGACCCTCCTACAAACTTTGCAGTTCATCTTCTACAACTGCTTGCTGTCCCAAGGTTAATTCTTATCTAACTAGATTGAATGTGGTGAATTTTAACAAACATACTTCTTTTCCTGCTGCTCTTTTCTAGCTACAAAACTAATGCTATTCTGTGGAATCTGAAGCTCTTTTCCTAACGTACTTAGACAAAACATAATAGTTTACATAAATTTAACAAAAAAACCATCACATTACTATAGAGCACTTAATGAACAAGCTGAAAATATGTTCAAGTCTTGAAACAATTCTCTGAGAAACACCATTCAGATAATTTTAAAAGTAATGCAGAAATTTGTTCAATGGCCTACAAGTTATTTTCCAGGCTCTCCCAAAGCCAGAGCTATTGGCCCCCATAAGACAATTTTCTTATGCGCTTTACCTACCTACCTACCAGAAGGAAAGCTGTGCAGAGCCAGCTAATAGGAAAAGCTAATCAGAGGCCTTAGTCTTCAGAAACCCCTAGTATCCAAGTCAAGATGTACAAGCAGGCTTGCTTATCCAGGATACAGAACCTAGAATTTTCTCTACAGGGCAAAGAGAAAATTTTGAGGTTTTCAAATCCTTGAAAGAACTGACAAAGGGCTGATCATTTTTTAACTGAAGGAACGCACTCATGCATAACCTACCAAAAATAACGCTCATTTAGGAAGATAACAGAAGCCAAAGGATCAGTTCAAACACACATCCAGCATTATTCAGTCAAGAAGCTTTTGAGAAACCCGGGTGAAAGCACTTTTTCCAAACATCTCAGGCTAGTGGGGCTGGAGAGAGGCACCAAAACACCAAGGCAAAGGTTTTGGGCACATACAGTACAACTGCATTTCTGAGGGGATCCAATCCTTCTGGTATGCACTAGACTGTCTAAAGTATCCCTTAAGTGATCTGCTCAATGTTGCGCTGAAGTTTGTCTAAAATCCGGTTTTAGGTATACACATCTTATCTGGGATGCTGGTTTTTGGAAACTAGTTATCTTAAAGTGATCTGCCTTATTATGAGTGAGGCTTAAAATACAACCTTAAAATAAATTCTATTTTCTATAAATTCTATTCTATGTCAGAAGCAGAAATTAAGTCATTTGCAGCAAATGATTGTATGTTAACACTTATCCATCCTAAGAAATCTCTCTGCATCTACTTGTGGAAGGTGAGGAAGCAGGGCACAGATAAAAATAGATAGAATGAAATAGTTAATTTTTTAAATTTATTTGCAGCATGGTAACTTAAAAGACTGGTGCACATAGTATTAGAAGTCTTGAAATTATGTTTACATAGAAATATGTTAGTGAGAAATTACTTATGTCTGTATTCTGAAGTTGCTAATCCAAATCAATTCAGGTAAGCAAAACATTATGTATAGCTTATTTTAAACATTCGCTTCAAATTGCAATAATGTTAAATACAATGTACTTGTTAAGCCAATTTTATTTTCCAGTTTAAGTCATAGGATCCTTCTAGTATATTTTTATCTTTTTTCACATAAAAGTATTTTAAAAACCCATAGTGAATTGTATGTGGGATCTTTGACGTCTCAAAGGGTTCAGCTCAGCAATGCTCCTGCCCCTGGATTTCAAACCTGTATTTTCTTTATTACAAAAGACTTATTTTATTACAGGTTTGTTAAAGGATACTATATGAAAACTAGCTTATTTCTTTTTATCCATTGTGTCAATATTTAACCTTTACCATATTGTTTAGTGAAACACAGTAATGTGCTACTAAAACATATAAAAGGCAAATCTCAGTTCTAAGAGGCAAAACATTTATCAAATAAAAAATGGGTAACAGATTACATAGTGAGGAGGGATGCTAACAGAAGGGTATATGGTAAAATATCTACAGAAAACTACTCAGTGGTACTACCTCTGCACAGCCTGAACCACATTCTGGAGACAACGAATAAACTCAAAACTGGGCTTCTTGCATAGCTTCTTCATCAGAAGGTTGTCACCAAATCGTGCTAGAGAGAAATACAGTGAATTGTCCGAAACATTCAAGTAGCAAACCAGAAGAACTGTAACAACTCAAATCCAAAAGCCTTTTTCTTATCACATTGCATTCATTATTTTTCTCCTTTTTCACTTTCTTTTGGCACAACAAATTTTTCGAGCTGGTGGTGGTGTCAATTATCTTGCTTTCATTTCTCTTATTAGTTTCCAAAGCCATCTGAATACAACAAAGTACAAAGGAACAGCCAATAAGGTACAGTTCTTGCAAAGTGAATTCTCTATCTGTGTGGAGTCAGCAGACTACAGAAATATTTTAGAATAGGTGGGAGACTTGTGTTACTGAGTGGCAAAACCAGGAAAAGTCAAGTGAAACAAAACTTAAAGGAAGCAAACCACGGAGATTGGCCTCATTAAAGAAAATCCTATTAAAAGCCTTACCAACTTAAAGCTAGGCAAAGAAAGCATCTTCTGCTAACAGCATTACTGCTGTGACCCACAACTAGAAGCCTACCACATGCCAGTGTCTTGGCCCCAGACTTTTCTTCACCTGATAACGCTTATTCTTTTCAGAGGGAAGCGGGGCATCTAGCAATACCTGAAAAGCCGTGCATTTGCAGAAGTATATGCGTCTCAAAAAAGTAACAGTGTATACTATGGGGACCAGTAATTTGAACTCTTACTTCTTAGGGTGCATCATTGTGTTGACAAGCAAGTATTATTTCTGGCTTTCAAAACTGGTTTCACTTCAGAAAATGATTTTACTAGAAGATCTGTTTGCAAACTGAACTATGAAAATTTTCTACACAATTAAAGAAAAAAAAAGCCATTTTCCCTGCAAGATGCATCTGACATTACAATTGAAAAATGCTTGCTATTGCATTGTAGTAACATTGGCGTAAGACAAACGCATTTTACGTTGTCTGTCTTCCTTACATCACACCTACTTTTGACAGGGACTTCTAATCAAAGTGAATTTACTCATTGATTCAATTTTGTCCTGCATCACAGTTCCATGCCACAAAGTGCTCTGTATGTTTATAGCTGAAAGATAACCGCCACTGCTTGAAGAGACCAGAAAGCAAGCAAAAACCCACAGAAAGGGGGGGAACCCCAACATCAGAACTCTGTTTGTCTGTTTTTATAACATACATGATTCTTTTCATAAAACTATTCTTGTGTGGCATTGCCCCAAATAAGCAAGTCTCAGACATTTGGTTTGAGAAGTATTTCATCAGAAGACAAAATGAGAGACTGGGTTATCTTTTAATTTGGTAAGGAAGACAGTTTAAGGGCATTAGTCTTTCTTCTTTTAAAAAGGAAAAAAAAACCAAACAAACCAAAAACCCCCAAACCAGACAAACTAAAATTCACTGCCATGTTACTACAGCATAGCTCCAGCATTTCTTAAGGGAAAGACGATTTCTAGTGCAAACAGAAAAAGCAAGCAGTTAAGTATTACCAAGGAAATGATGATTGTCACAATGCAACAGAATATTAAGGCCAGTTAATAATAACTGAATATTTATAAATAACACTAATTTCTATTAAAGCCTGCTTTTCCAAATATAACCAGAACAAAAGCACAACAATTCTGTAGTGTACCAAGTGTATATTTCAATTTACTGTATGCAGTACA